CTGTCTTTCTCTCTCTCTCTCTCTTTCTCTCTCTTTCTTTCTTTCTCTCTCCCTCTCCCTCTTACTCTATATATCTTCCCTTTCTCTCTCTCTCTCTCTTTCTCTATCTCTATCTCTCTCTCCTTCTCTCTCTCTTTTCATCCTTCTTCCCTCTCTCTCTCTTCCTTTTTCTCTACCCCCTCTCTCTTCCCTTTCTCTATTATCTTTCTCTATATTTATCTCTGTCTGTATGTATGCATATTATGTAATAGTATACGTACATATCTACCTTTCTATTTTCCAAATGATATCTAGTTCCTCAGCACACTGGGAAGCCTCAATTATTTTAAAGCCTATCATTATCACTATCTTACTACAGTTAATTTAAGAGATATAAAGGGGTTTCAATTAAATAGAGGTCTAAATAACGCGTTATTACCATGGTTACAATGTATGTGAGTATTGTAGTCTGCCAGTTGAATTTTGCATGGCTAGATCGTAAAATTAGTATACCCTGGTATAAGCGACCGGTTGCTTATATACATTTATATACCTCACTTAAGAAATCCAGCCATCTGATTGGTCGAATTGCATTCATAAACTTCAACTGTTCCTGTAAAATTCCCGGTAACCATGCATAAAACATTTCAATATTTTTAACAACCATGGTTATTAAAAAAATAGGTCAGTCTCCATGGTTACCCCATAGGTTTACATGTTAAAAAATGGTTTGAGCGATGGAGGATACCATACGTGTGCGAAAAATTGGTCGGCAATTTCAATACAATTGAATCTCGATCGATCTTACCGACAATTTTATCTTGCATTGTTGACATGAAGACGAAAATTAACTCTCAAAAACAAAAAAACAACATCTGCCGATAGATCTTGATCTAAGTTCGTGCCAATATGCATTGCAAAAGTAAAAGAAGCGTCCGTTTCATGGAGCTTTTGCGAAGCATCCCTCACGCGGAGCCGTTTTCAATCCATTTTAATGTATATATTGGAGAAAACTGCCACGCATGTTAACGACGCGCGATAGCCGAGTGGTCTAAGCGTCGGTTTTCGATACACCTCTTGTTGTACGCAAGAGTTCGAATCCCGTCTTCGACAAAAATGTAAATTATTTTTTATTTTTTATTTTTTAGTCTATTTTTTTTCGGCATATAAAAGTATTAATGACTGCTTTAATATTCGAGAAATAGTTGTTTTCATACGCTCTCGGGAAGGTTACAATTGGGCTATTCCCCTCGGCAAGCCTCGGGGAATAGCACAATTCTAACCTTCCCGAGAGCGTAATAAAACAACTATTTCTCTCAAAGCAGTCATTAATACTATAGAAACACACCACGGAGCGGAAGAGGAATGTTATATTTAACCAAGAAATTAAAAGAAAAGTTTTTTTTTTTTTTTAAACAGGCGAACAAATTATGGACTAATTGTGTCAAATTTAGACTGTTGATCATGTTCTGAGTGAGTTTGCTGTAGCAGGACCCCAATATCCCCTTACTGATATTGACAACCCAAAACTGCATGGTGTCATAATTAAACTATTGTCAGTTTTCAATAGCTATGTTGATATACGAAATAATGATATAGTGAGGATAAGGATGATGGCGTTCATAGCGACAGTTCCTTCACATGATGTCTTCAAAGTTGTTGGTGCTTTAGAGTGGTGGTGGTGGTAATGGTGGTGATAGTGATGATAGTGGGATGCTATTGACTAACTTAATTAATTAGAGGCGATTAAACTATGCCAACCGTGTCTGCGATCGAGTATTTCATTAGATATTAAGTGTTCCTCGTACAGTGTGTGTTGTGCTATAAGGAATGATTGACATTTTATTGACGAACCCCCCCCCCCCCCCCCCGAAAGAGGCTAACAAATTACGATCGGCAAACAATTCTAAAACATAGCAGGCGGATCTAATCAACAGTACCTGATTGCATACTTCGCTATCCTATAATCATAATGCAAAACCTTTCAAAAATCCATTTCAAAATTCATGAAAATGGTCGGCTATGCGGGGTACTGTAATTACCTGTGCTCAAGGATATTATGAAAATTATTACCACGGTGCATTAAAATGATGGTATGGATTACATCCTCAAAAGGGATTCCCAGGTAAGCCCAACAACTCTTTTTGGATTTTATGGAGACCATGATAACTTTTAAAGACGATTGAGTTCAGGGAAAGGTAAAAATAAATGTTTTGTTTTTGTTTTTTTAAAGATTATTCTGGATCAATATCTTGAAATGTTCATGTTATTTCAAAATATGTTGAGAGAGAGAAAAAAAAAGTTTGAATCAGACTATAATGCCAAATGCAGGGCCGCCGGAGCGTATTCCAAAGTGGGGGATCGGGGGTCACCAACAATACAGAGCACTTTCTGGAGGAAATCATAAAGGCACCTACAAAGGGAAACCTCAAAGTGAACATACACCATTGTTAAACATTGCTATATACCCCTACATCGTCATGATTGTGATTGCATTACCAGGGATGACATCAATATTCGTTTCTCTTTATACATGGTACAAGATAATGCTTGAGGAACATACTTTTCAGTTGGTTGTAATGGTCTGAATATTAATTTTCGAGGGAGTTAAGCGAGCGAGCAACAATTTAAAGATTTTTGAGGTCGCAGTGCGAAAAATTATATCTTAAAGAGAGAACAAAAAACAAACCATGATGACTTATAAGCACAATCTAATGAAGAAAGAGTGAAAAATTATTTTATTATAGTTTCATGACTATAACATAAATGCGAGCGAGCGCTTGGGTAAATTAAAGGGAAAAGGGCTCTATTAGGGGTGCATGTTATGGAAAAAGCAAAAGTAGGTACCTGTACTTATCAGAAGGGAAGAGGACAGTGATCAGAAAAGAAAAGGTGCACGTGTCAAAGCAAAATTATCAGAGGTGAAAATAGGGCACTTCTTGAACCTAAACTGAAATGGACACTGAACAGAGATGAAAAAAGCCACTTGTGAGCATGGAAATGGGGAATCTGTTGAAGCAGAAGGGCACCATCAGATTTAAATACGGGCATTTATCAGATGTTGAAAGGGGCATTTTGAAAAAGGGGAGAGGCTAAAAATAAAAAAAAGAACAGTAGCACTTATACGAATGAAATATGGTACTTATTTGAAAGAAAAAGCGGCACATGTCAAAATAAAGGGGGTACTTATCAGAGGTGAAAAGTTGCATTTAAGAGACTGGGAAGGGGGTTCTTATTTCAAAAAGAAAAGAAACTTATCAGGAGGAAAAAGAGCACTTATTAAAAATAAAAAAGGGCACTAATGAGAATTTTAAAAGGGGGGCTAATTATAAAGGGAAAGGGGAATCTGTCAGATTTTGAAAGTAGCAATTGTTTGGGTGATAAGGGGGCATTTTTTAGAAACTGAAGAAAAGGGACACTTTTCAAAATAAAAGGGCCACTTATCAGAGGTGAACAGGGTCACTCATCGAAGAAGAAAAGGAGCACTTATTAGAAGGGGAAGGGGGCAATTATTACAAAGGAAAATTGGCAATTATCAAAGTAAAACATATACCTGTCAGATTTGAATAGAGGCAATGATCAGATGTGAAGGGGGCATTTATCAAGGAAAAGGGGCACTTATTAGGGGCACTTAGGGGGTACCTGAATAAATGGGGGCATTTTCCTCTCCTTTAATTTTGATCTCCGCCACACCGTACTAACGCAAATATTCAAGTATTTAAATATTAATATGCAGCCCTCGGATGGCTAGGTTAGGTTTTAAAATGTCAACCCGGGATGGCCATTTCTGGGCCCACACGTATGTGTAGTCCCATACACCCGTTTCTACACCCGACTTCAATCAAGATGTAGTCAATTTATTCTCTGTTTGTTGATTTCAAGACCCGTATCTGTTACATTCATCCTTTCCCTGTTGCTAACGGGCAGATTCTTTGACAATGAAATTGCATGACTACAACTCAACTCAAAGAGTATTGACGGACGCCCTTTTCGACGTTTCAAGGTACATGTAGATAGAGAAAAGATGTTCAACAGTGACTTATATATATATATATATATATTTAAATCATTTTTTTATACGTCAAGATAAAAACAATATCATATAATATTCAAAATACAAACATACATAGTGATATACCTAAAGTGGGAGGATCATGAAAAAATTATATAAATATATATTTATTTGCAGTCAAACGTTCAGGAACCGGCAATTGGATGATTAATGTCCTTGCAAAAAAACTCCCTTATGTCCATCTCATGACAATGTACGCAACTTATCTCATTTGTATAATTTGTCTATTTTCTGTACAATGTTGTTCTTAAATTGTATATTTCTGCATACATTGTATTTATCTGAGAGACGTGGAATGAATGAATTTGAATTAGGTAATTATTTATTTGTGTTTTTATTCAGAGAATGAACGCCTGCAACTCTGCTTGAGATACGACGTGAACAGCCCCCTCTACGAAAATTGATAGCTCATGTTCATTTTCTTACGTATTCAACTGTTATGCATACTTTTTAAACAAAGGTTGTTCTTGACAACCAGAACGTTTTCCCGAGAATTTGTCCGACATAGCAACACGTCATGTATGGTTTTCTATTCTTGTTCTCTATTCTTATTGTTGTCAATTAGACATCTTTCCAATTTACCTCTAATTGCTGTCTTCTTATTTTGAATCAGTATACGTAAGCCCGAACAAACTCATATCATTGATATAATCACAACATAGGCTATTAAATGAAGTTTACTTTGCCATAGAAATAGAAATGTATCTAGATTGTGTATTGCTTAATACAATTTGTTTCTATTGAATCACTGGATTTTCCTTCCTCAGCCACGAACATTTCATCTGATACCACGAGACTGCGTGCATGTTATTGCTATGTAGATACCTTTTAATTTGATTCTCATGAATACCGGGGGGGGGGGTGTGATGATTTGAGAATCACGAGAGCGTTCCTGATTGGTCAAATGACGGTCAAATTAATCGTATGAGAGATCAATATGAATCTGATTCTGACAGCGCGCGTAATCAAATCTCAACGAACGAGCCGGAGTAGCTAGCCACAACCAGTCGGCTGCTTTCTACTTTATTGGTTACAACGGAAATATTGCCATGATCAAGCTGCTCGGACAGCCAGTGAAGTTCAGAGGCATGCATTTGTGGTTGACTTCAATTATTTGCAATTCAATGATCTCCTCAGGAATGCCAACGGCTGAATGGACTTGGAGGAAAAACGCGTTCAATAGGCCAAAGATGGAATAAAAGCGGAGTGTGTGTTCTGTCACCTTGTTGCCTTCATTTTGTATAACACCATGTGCATTTTTTGGTTAGCCTATGTATCGGTGCTTTTGCCGTGGTTACCCCACATCTTTCCCCTTAGGAGCAGCGTGGCGTCCACGGTGGATCCGGTTACGAAAGCTTTAGAATATGTCGAAGAGATCGCCAGGCAGAAGGACAACTGTTCGTTCGGACCATCGCTCGATCTCCAGTACAACAAGCAGCGTTGGATCCCGCAAGCCGAGGTTGCCATCCACACTGCCAATCTCTTGACGACCCTCTCCAGGACGGGTCCCCACATCCGTGGTATCCATCCTGAAGACGAAGATCTCCTCTACTCCATTGTCCTTGCCAACGTCCAGAACTATGACGACGTCTTTGGGTCGGCCATCGCCTTCAAGACGAGTTTCTACCGCGACTATCGCCGATTCTGCCCGTACGCGTTCCGCGCCCCCGATTCAATCACTGCCAAGGACCTCTCAATCGGATACAACTACACAATGGAGGAAACCGACTGGTTCCACATTCCCTACATGACCTACAGAAATTACACCTTTGGTTTGATGTCGACAGTGGGCTCTTCATCGATTATTCAACCTACTAATCCTATTTTCTCGGCTGCGCCAGACATTCCATGCACAAGCTGCAACGTTAGCCGGTCTCCTGACATGTTTGGTACCGACGTTGATTCCACTCCAAGTCCTGGAGGTACTTTTACAGAGGATATCATTCCCAACACTCTTACACCAAACCCTTACTCTCCCTTCAATTCAACAGATGTGTTCCCCTCGGGCAGCTCCGCGGTCACACAGATACCCCATGACGCCACCGATTCACCGGAAACTGTCGCCACCGATGCTACAAAAACTGGCACTTATGCTCCTCAAGTCAACACTGCAAATGCTGACAGTCTACCCGAAGTGAGTGAGGATCCACCACCAGCGACACCCTCGCAGGTTCCCATCCTGGACACCATGAAGTTTGTTGATATCACCGACGGCTACTGGACCAAGCCTTACTTCGATTGCGGTGGTGGGGACGTTTGGATGGTGACTTTCTCAGTGCCTTTCTTCTGGTCCGACATGAATCCTTCTGTCTATAACCCTTCAGGGATAGACTTGTTTACCTTCGCGTAAGTACAGATTTTAGACGTTTTCATTCTGTGTGAGCAAGTCCAAGGTACGTCCCATGCGTTATCCAGTATTATACATTGCAGCGAGGAATCGTGAACATCAATTCGCATTTTAAAATATCTCTTTTCTTGATAATTTGTCTTATCAAAGCTCTAATAGGGCACTCGATCAGATACAGCAATCGGATAAACTCAAAATCTTAGATGTGTTCGGTAACGTATCGGACATAATAGCTCGGACTTGCCAGCTCCCAAAGTAAAGGTTACTATTTTGAAGAATCACTGACGCAACACCAGTGCACCGTCTTTAAACAATGCACATATTTTGCGATTTATCCGATCTAGTAAAAAGGCGCCAATCATTCACACATTGCGCATTGATAAAACAAATTCGCATCTACAACGGAACCTGTCTTTACAAAATGGAATAATGTTGAATGATCTTCTATGTTACCTTATAAATTACACCTTTTTCTTACTGGTGGAACTAATTGTAGTTATTTTCAAAATACCTATTACATAGCCAATCTCTCACTATATCTCTTTCCTCATCCAACCTCATTTTCCGGGGAGGAATCCATTTGTAGAAGTGTAGAATTATTCATATTGCAGGGCTCCTTTAAATGTTTGAACCAGTATAAAATGCTGGTATAAAATGAGCTAGTGTGTGTTTTTATACTTAAAGGTAATCTTGAGCTCTGTATACTGGTATGGCAATCGTATTTTGAGAAAAATTACTATGATTTATTCTTGATGGTTTATCCTGCAGTAGATCGGTTGTTTGGACCAGTGAAGTACAAATAAACGCGCAAAAACTTGCTGGAAATCATCTTCAATAAGAACCACTATCGCACATCGTGACCTGTGTTAAGCACATGGTGTTACCTTGATTTCACTATCTTTCTATGTTCATTACTCAGCCCCTCTACATTTTACACCAAAATCGTTTGGCACATGTGATTTTTTTGTAATCTTGAACATTCAGTGTAAGTTTTGTTGGATTATGTGAGAATTAATTTTTTTATCATTACCATAACTCAAGTTTATCTTTAAGATGAAAACAAATATTTGTATATTTCCAATGTCTCACTAAATCTCTCCAATCATCTCTATTTCACTTTGTTTTTTCTCTTTTGTCCCTCCAACCCCAATAAACTCAGAATACTCTCATTTTTATTTGAGAAGTAAATGTCATAGAATTCGGTCATTATTGAATAAATCAACCACATTATGAACATTAAATATTGTTATGACTCATCTGGAGGCTTAAAGAGAAGGCTCTGGTTAAGACGTAAATGAATTCATCTTTTGTGTCTTAGTTTTGGAAGAATATTACCATAACAAATATCCCCCCCCCCCCCAAGAGGATTGCTCTTCCAATGCCCTTATATACTAAATGTGACGAGAAACAACTGAAAAGTTTAATCTTTACTTTCATACCATAATTGTGTGCATGGTGCGTGTGTGAATGCGTGTGCGTGTGTGTGAGAGTGTGTGTATTCCTATGTACCATATTCTCTGTATAGTGCATGTTACTTCAACAACATTTAGTCAACTTCTTTTCATTGTGATCATTTCAAAATCTCTCGGTATACGTCAATTATTATGTAGCGCATGATCAACATTTCCCAATAATTTCCCTCAGAGAGTTTAATTCCCCGATGTGATCATTATGAACAGTACTCGAATTCCATCTTTAGAAACCTTGTCTGGATGTCCTGATGATATTGATTAGCTCGCTCTCATGCTCCTCGTGTGGAGTATTGATCGTCAGTTGAACATTGCAATTCAGTCAATTATACATTTTATGACAATAAGAGTCGGCACCGTCATATCGACGACGAGACGGGGAGAGGGCCGACAACATACCGAAATTAAAAAAATTATGTTACCCCTAATGGCCAAAAATAATTCGATTTGAAGCCGGAGTGGAGTTTTTCTGACAGGGTGACTAACATGACTGATGTAACTCTATTTATTAAGCTTGGGGATAATGCTATATGATCCTGAATTGTTAACGTTGAAGAGTACATTGAATCCATTCGACTGCAATACTTACGTCAACTTTGAATTTGGCATTGGCGATAAGAGAAGTCTAATCATGTTTCTCGACGATTATTAAATAAATGTAAAGAAAATATAGAAAGTCATATGAAACTTCATCCGGTGACTTCTGAATTATCTCTGTCCCATAGGCTTATTAGTTTCCGTAGACAATGAATTCAGGGTTGAACAAAAATGATTGTACAAACGAAGAGGATTAGCAATGACATGTTCAATGTTGTAGGCAAAAGCCAGGGCCAGAAAAAGAAATGGAGGGATGAGAAAAAGAGGGATGGGGGAAACAAGAGAGTGAGAGAGTGAGAGATACACATACACACCCACACGCGTACGCACACACACACACACCCAGACAGACACACACACATACACACATACACCCAAAGACACCAAAAGAGAGAGACACACACAGACAGAGAGACAGAAAAACAAGAGAGAGGGGTAGACAGAAGGACGGGGAGGGGACGAAGGAGAGATTTTGTTTCTTTCTTTCTAGTTATCCTTCTACAGGGTTACTTTATTATTTTATAAACATAATCATTTTCACAAAAAATCGACCCATGCACTATTCCAAGACTTGTCATATATATTCAAACAATAAATTATTACAAAATAACCTCGGCAGCTCAGTTACATATATTAAACTTGGCAAAATATATTTTTTACACTAATTCTATAACATAAAAACAAACACAAGCAAACTGAACATGGACACACAAAAACATTTGTTAAAATGAAAACATTTTTTTCACTAAATTATTTCCTTTAAGATTCGTCTTTGCTATATATCTTTCCATATCATGATAAGTTTTAAAAGCTGATATAACTTTTTCAAACAGTAGTATCTGATTTTTGCATTTGGCTTAATAGATTCCTTTTTTTCCAATAATATAGATGTGATTAAAAGCGTTGTTGTGACCTCCTTTCAAGACAATCAATTTATTTTGGTTTGTGAGTTTGGCCTTTATATTGATCTTAATGAAAAACCATTACTCAAATTTTGAACAAATTACATTTGAAGATGGGCAGTAACAAAGTATATGCATAATTGCCTCTTCACTCCTGTCATTTTAGCTCCACCATACTTATACAAATGACACATTTGTTTTCTTCTTATTTGATCAGGTTAATTACCCCAAATAACCGAGTAAAATCATCGATTCACCTCTCTAATAATTTGTAAGTTTGGTTATGGAAGTGATAGAAAACAGGTAGTTTAATTTGGGTATTAATAACGAGTTCACAATGGTAACTCCTCCTAAGGATACCAAGAAGAGATATATGGCTGGAAGGAAAAATGAAATAAATCACAAGAAGTCGCAATTAGGTAATGGTGAGCACGGCCAAGACTCGGACGCGAATCCATTAATAAATCAACATCTAGCGATGCCTCTGCTTCCCAATGAGCATAATTTTCAACGCGAATTCACTGTACAGGTTATGACAAATTCTTCTTCATCAAACGAAGCCTCTTCTTATTTTATTCAGCCTTTTGAGCATGAGTGAATCCGTCTTACTCCGTCATCGAGATAATACTACCTTTAACATTAATCGCACTTTCTTTGATATCGTAATCTTTCTCCGCCTTCTCTGGAATCGCGGAAAGCTCTTTGCAAGGTGCCTTCGACATCAATGTGAAGAATTAAGAAGAGGGAAGCATTCATGATTTATATTGATATAGGGAATATAATTTGAAAGGAAATCTTAAAGGAACTGTGCTGTTTCCATGGGATATTCGTATAGTATTAACGGACGCGTTTATGTAGGCTTTTTAATTTAATCCTTGAATCATGACGATTCCATTAATAAAACGTCATAATACGCTTCCAAAAAAATTGTATACAACTATAACGTCAATCACAGAGACATTTGCTATCATATGTAGAATTGAACAGGAAGCCTACTGCATACCTTTCCTGTATTTTGTAAATTGCGTACGCTTACCCAACACAAGTCCCTAGGTTTTCGTGTATGCCATACCGCCTTGTCAATCGCACTGATGATCGTGTGTACATTTTATTTAGCTGCTTTGTCAAATTAAATACGAAGTTAAAAAAAAAAAATAGACGGAAGAAAAGTCTTTATATTTGAATTTGGATTTGGAGTCTAAGACTCGCATATTCTCCTAGGACACTAATAAAAGAAGTTACTTCCGAAATGAAGAAATAGGAAGTTGCTGATAAAATTCCCCAAATGAACACTTTGTTAAAAAAAGATCCTGAGCAAAAACCCGTTTGAATTGATTACAAAAATGTTCATGAGGGAATCTGATGATGATGACTTCACACCATTTATATGGCGCCATATTTCCAATTTTAAACAAATGCGCAGGCCGCTCTAAATAAGTCAGTATGTTCACATTTGCTGGAATAGGTTTTCCTCTTGTTTTTTTTTCCCCTCCTGTTCTTTTCCTCGTGAATCAAGCAACCTTTTTGACCTCCCCTGAGAGGGACACGGTCGAGATGTGTGTCACGCAATGGCACTTCAACTTCTATATGACGTATGAAAAGTGATGAAAAGATTTGGAGACGTTCCTAAGTAGGTCAGAGTGCTAATTGTCAAAGATCTTGAAGAAGGTATAATGGGCGACGTGATCTATTCGCCATGCAATCATGTCAATACAGATTGCGATAAATATGAATGAAACTGTATTGAATTATATCATAATTAATATAATACGTATTGAATTCAAACATCTCTTCGTGGTGTAATAGTCAATGCTAGCTCCTTTTCTATTTTTTGCCTGTACACTATTGAATGGCATCATAATCTTGTATCTTATACAGATAACTCGGCTAAGGGAACCTGATCCGTTTATGAAAATCAATAATATCCCAAATTGTGAACCAGGATGGAAATTAAAACGTGGTATTGCTTTAATCATGTTAATGGAAAGTGCGAGCAACTTTCCCGCTTCCGAGCGATTAAATCTCCTCCCTGATAATTCATACCGCATTATTACAATTAATTTAGAAGCTAAAAGTGCAAACGCTTCAGCTCAACCCACAACTTGGTTGGTTGAACTTCAATTTCTGATCATGTTAGATACCAAAGAGTGCTACGTTTTCGTGCATCGGTCAGGCAGACATTTTTTGTTGTCATTTTACAAAAGTGACATTTTAAAACACTTGTATGTTCATTTCCTCAGTTCAATTTTACTTTCATAATTCCAAATTCCAATTCCAAATATAATGAGGATAAGGCTAATGGTAATGATGATGATAACAATGAGGATGGTGGTGGTGGTGGTGGTAATAGTGAGGCTGCGGATGTTTCAAGTCTTAATTTTATTTGTTTCAGATTTCACAAAACCGAATTTCACATAAATGCCAAAATTAGAACATGATATGAAATATACTCAAAGTATGACATTATATAATTAAGTTTTTGAAAAGACGTCGAAATTAAATGTATTAAATGCTAGGTTTCACAGGGTTACATGTGAGGAACCCATTAAAAAGCTGAGCTTCTAGATTATAGGTTCCCCTAAATAATAAATAGTATTTGATTGAAGTGGTTGCAACGTAGGTGGTGATATTGGGGTGCTAAGTGATTTATTGTTTCAAAGGAGACTAACTAAGCTAATTAGAGGCGATTAAAGTCTAGTCTGTCAACAGTGTCTGTGATCGTGTATTTCATTAGACATTGTGTGCTCCCCGTACAGTGTGTGTTTTACGGGTCTGCTATTAAGGGACAATTGACATTTTTATAAACGAACCTCTTCCTCCCCCCCCCCCCCCCCCGAAATGGGCACATTCCTTTTTTTTTTAAATTATAAAATACTAAATGTGAGAGGCCCAAAACAAATGCGATCGGCAAACAATCCTAAACCATAGCAGGCAGATCTTGTCAACAGCAACCGAGACAAAACTTCGCAATCCAATAATTATAATGCAAAACCTTTCAAAAACCCATTTCATAATTCGTTGAAAATAATTGACTAAACGGGGTATTGTAATTAGCTATGGTCAAGGGTATTATGAAACTTATTACCATGGTGCATTAAAGTAATGGGATTGGATTGGATTCTCCCGGGGGATTCCAAGGTAAGCCCAACAACTCTTTTTGGATGTTATGGAAACCATGATAACTTAAAGAAAATTGAATTCGGGGGAAAGGTGAAATAATTTTTAGTTACCCTTTTTTTAATATATTTTTTTAAAGATTATTTTGGAAACACTGCTCTTCAAAAGCCTTCTTTTCAAAATATGAAAAGAAATTGCCGAATTTTTTTTTAATCAGACTCTCATGCCAAATGCAGGCCCACATACCATACACCCATTTTTTTTACTTCAATCAAGATGTAGTCAATTTCTTCTCAGTTTGGTATGACGGGCAGATTCTTTGACGATGAAATTGCATGACCACAACTCAACTCAAAGAGTATTGACGGACGCCATTGTCGACGTTTCAAGGTAGATTTGGCTTTCCCTGCTCCCAGTAAAAGGTGGACTATAAAATTTGCCGACAAATGCTTAGGGAATTACACCCAAATTTGCCGACAGATATGTATCACCCTAACCCCCCCCCCCCCCCCATAATTACACAATTCCTTTTATAATAACCACGACTATTTTGAGTGAGGGTGTTTAATACACCCCACCCCATCCCCTCTAGAGACGCCCAGTTTGATTTAATTGAACTGAACTCTATGACATCTCACTCACCATTTCAGAGTTCATAATCATGATATTCGACATTACAGACCGATAGAGAAGGTCATGTCATTGATGAAAGCTGTATGGCAAACACGCGCTAATTGACAGAATCTGTGGTCTGAAGAAACGAACATAGATAATGGAGAAGAAAATTCATTTGCGGCCGCGTATATTGATATTGATCAACCTAGTACCTCAGTCATTGTCAGTCACACCGCCATACCGACTCCGAATTGACTCCAAACCAACCGCTTACTGACCATCAATGTATATCTTTGCTCGGTCCAGTGTCGGTCACGTTGGTGTGACTGGAGTCTTGTCGTCTGGCATGTCTTTCTCTCGGATGCTCTGATGATTTTATAGGCAAACAATCGCAGCCGTGATGATACACATTGATCGTGATATAGCGAAGAGGATAATTTCATATACATTGCATGAGCACGTGTTGTTATACTGGTTCTCACACCAGTTACAACGTAAATCACCTAAGCGCTTACAGTATTATTTTTACCACGGTCATACGATTCATTTACGATTCCGCACGATTTAGTACACATTCTCTACTCCCTGGGGAATCCAATTACATTGAGGTTCGCATCAAACCTGGTACCTATATATCACCTGGGTGGAGAGAAGGAATGCCGATAAAAAAACATTAGTGCCGAGCTAGGATTCGAACCCTTAAACCTTGGATTGAAACACAGGTCACTGAACCATCTTATCACGCCACCTCCACATAATTGAACCTCCATATTATCGAGGAAAAACATGAGATTACAGGAAAGATTGAACAAAACAAAATAATTCAAGTGCACGATTGTTGACAGGATCCAAGTATATTTCTTATTCTATGACGTTGTCGATGCACTTCATGAAATAGTATCTGAGTACTCCATTATAAAGCGAAGTGAGTCGTAATATCCCATTATTTATATCTGATTCTGACAAGGTAAGCGACGTGTGAAATGCTAAATTTGCTCTGAATCAATTAGTCAACCACAATACGATCAATGAATTATTAATACTCGACTTATTTCGCTGTTCAAGGTTAAACGAGCCAGCCACCCTGTTACTTGAGTGAATGATTGAATGAACGATTACATAAATAAAGAGATGTTTCTAGTTTGATCAGGAAACACGGTGTTAAATGTTATATATAGACATAAATGAGAGCTTGGGATTTATCATCCTGTATCTTGTTGATTCCATTTGGAAAGAATGACAAACTATAATGATTTTGAAACGTAATAAGTGTTTTTTTCAATGTTGTCTTCCTCTCAATGCGTATCTATGGATAATCTTGTCCCGGGCCTCATTACAACAATCGGGTGGCATATTATGTCATAAACCCACCCCCATATAACTCCTTTACCATTTAATAAAGAAAAAATGTTGGTATTTAATGTCTTTAGTGTGAATGGCGGGAATAGACCATTATGAAAGTGTTTTCAAATTTATATAGCGTTTACATTCTCCTGTTATATATCAATGTATCTTAATAGTCAGAATCCAAATTGCGTACATAAGTAAATGTTTGTAGGTTTGACAAATTATGGTGGCTTGCCCTACCTATAACAACTGGTAATTATACAATTTGCATTCTCACCATTGAAATAAATTTCTTCGTAATAGGTAAATGAAACAATTCAAATTGAGGCTCTTAAAGCCCCTCTAAAGTGTTGGTAGCCCACGGATTTTCAAAACAAATGTGTTTGAAGTCGAATATTGATGAAAGATTACAAAATTTAGTTTTTTCTGCGTACAACAGAAAACCCAAATTATATATTTTTTGACCAATTTTTGTCTTCAAACACATTATTATTTTGAATTATTATTATTGTTATTTTTTGTATAAAAAAAAAATATATATATATATATATATTTTTTTTTTTTTTTTTTTTTTTTGGGGGGGGGGTTCTTTGAAGAAGTGTGTCTCAAATGACATTCTCTTTTACATTATGATACAATTCAAATGAAATTTTGCCATCATATTATTGGAGAATTTGGGGCTCCCCACACTTTACAGGGGCTTTAAACAAAGACGCATGCATTCAATGTGATTACTTTACGAAATTACAACAACAACAAAATTAATTTGTGTTTTCATGACAGAGGTGTGACGACCATTGACATTTCGCTGGACCAACTCGACATATACCAGTGTCCTTCAAATGATAGAGAGAACAGCGAGGACGGCGAAATATTCGATCCCTTTGTAGACACGCATAGATGCAAGAATACGACACAGGTAAGAGGAGGTGAAAGTTATAAAGGTATCTTTAGGATTCATTGTTTATAGTAACAATCTTATGGAATTTATTTTCATTGATTTTATTTAGATATTTGCACAGTCTGGTTCTAAAATGGACTACAAACTCATCGATCACATTCATGTGACACATTTCTGAAAAAATATCGCTTTATTGTAGTTCACTATCTTCTGTATAATTATATGGGAAACCTTGTACCACGGCGCGATGGTCAATGCTAGAAATTATACAGGGATGATGGCATGACTTAGATGCATAAAGGCGTGGACCGCTAGTACATATAGCTTCTATAATATAGATTTTCTTTCATAGAAGTAGAACAACCGCAGAATGGGAGGAGCTGGATCCTTAGGCTCCCCTCCCCTTGGAAGATATGCCACGTGCTGAGCATGTCCGTGGCAAGTATTAAACTTGCATGAAGAACTTTCCTTCACCAAGTGTTTTGTAAATTTGGTAATAATAATGATGATGATGATGATGATGATGATGATGACGACGACGACGATGATGATGAAGATGATGATGATAGTAATAATGAGAATGATGATTTTAACAATAATAGTAATGATATTGATAACAATAATAACAGTAATAATTATAGTAATAATAATATCAAAGATCACAATACATGTACTATAGAGCGAATTACGCAATTATTTTAATCCACACAACGATATCATCATTATACCTGGTCACAAATGTCAAGCCCGTACACGAATGTGCACCATCTTCATTCCTTAAAGATAAACTCCAGTACTGGTAAAAAAAAAGAAATTAATTCTCACAGAATCAAACGAAACTTACACTGAATGTTCAAGATTACAAATAAATGACATGTGCCAAACAATTTTGGAAGAAAATGTATACTGGCTGAGTAATGAGCATAGAAAGACAAGGAAACCAAGGTAGTACCATCCCCGACACATGTGTGTTGTCCCATATATAGCTTTCTATGTGAGTGTTTGTTACTTTACCAAGACTCGGTCAAATTTATTATGATTTTGATGACTCCAGAACCTTGCAGTGCACACCAATACTTACATGCTCCATGATCAACTGTTTCTGATCCTTTCACACCTTTTCTTTCACAATGCAATCGCATTACCAGTACTAAAGTTTATCTTTAAGAAGTATTCCTACCACGTTGCACGGTTTAAGCCCCACTGCACTAGTTTGGCCAGGAAGGATTAACCTCACTGCATGGTCACTGACAGGTGGTTATCTCATCAAATCAGCTCTCAGTTAACATAAGAAAAAGGGGACCATGGGGGACCAATTGTCACCGATTAGGCATTGTTTGCTATATAGAGGGCGCAAGTAGCTATATGTAGTGCATTGGAGATTTAAATGTACAGTGTATAGATGTAGGGCAACGGCTAAAGCAGTCACAATCCTTGGCAATCCGTACACGTTTCCAATGATAGGATAAACCTGTCAAAGCATCTACGACGTCCTCCATCGTCCAATACGGTGACGTATGAGGACACGGTCGATGTCACAACCTCGAGACGACCCATCAAATTCATTATCAGTTAATGATGTGAGGTGGAGAATATGCCAGTTTGTTCGTATCTCCTCCCACTCTAATTTATCCAATATCATTGAATTTCGAATGCAACTGACGCCAAAATTAGGAGAAGTCGGAATGAGTTATTCAGAGATTAAGGGACTGATGCAGAATGCAGCGTCGACTAGCCCTCCTTCTGGAAGTGATTTTGAGGTAGGGTAGTAAAACGATAGAAAATGCAAAATAGCTGAATACATACATTTATACATACGTACGCACCCAAATGAATAACAAATAAATACGTAGAAATATCAATGAATAAATAACTAAATATGAAATTAATGAGCTATCCAGTAAACTAATATTGGAGATTAGGAATAGTAGTAGTAGTAATAGTTGTAGTAGTAGTAGTGGTGGTGGAAGTAGTAGTGGTAGTAGTAGAGTACTGGTATAAGTAGTTGTGGTAGAAGTAGAAGTAGTAGTAGTAGTAGTAGTAGTAGTAGTAGTAGTAGTAGTAGTAGTAGTAGTAGTAGAAGTAGTAGTAGTACTAATAGTGGTGGTAGTAGTTGTTTTTGTTTGTGTTGATGTTGTTGGTATTGTATTTGTC